ATAAACTAAGAAGCAGTTAAGTTCATTTTTAGAGTAAGATAGCTGAGATGACAGGAGACAGCACCCAAAATACAGGCCTCATTGCCAGGCCAGTCAGAAACAGAGCTGTAGGGTGGCAGCGGTGTCTTCCATCAGTGGCCAGTGCCAGATGATTGTGAGGGAATGAATAGAACGAGGCAATTATCAGGTGAGCCATCCCCCATTGTCCAGTCCCAGCTTCTGCCAGTCAGAGGTTTTGGGACACCCAGAGTATGGGATTGCATCACTGACCATAGGTCCATCAGTGGCTATTAGCCACTATCATCCATGAACTTATCTAATTCTTTTTTTAACCCAGTTATTCTTCTGGCCTTCACAATATCCCCTGGCAATGAGTTCCACAGGCTGTGTGCTGTATGAAGAAGTACTTCCTTGTGTTTGTTTTAAATCTGCTGCCTATTAATTTCATGGGGTGACCCTAGGATCTTGTGTTATGTGAAGGGGTAAATAACACTTCCCTATTCACTTTTTCCACACTAGTCATGATTTTATATACCTCTATCATATCCCCTCTTAGTCTCCTCTTTTCCAAGCTGAAAAGTCCTACCCTCTTTAATCTCTTCTCATATGGGACCCGTTCCAAACCCCTAATCATTTTAGTTGCCCTTCTCTGAACCTTTTCTAATGCCAGTATATCTTTTTTTGAGATGAGGAGATCACATCTGTATGCAGTATTCAAGATGTGGGCATACCATGGATTTATATAAGGGCAATAAGATATTCTCCATCTTATTCTCTATCCCTTTTTGAATGATTCCTAACATCCTGTTTGCTTTTTTGACTGCCGCTGCACACTGCGTGGACGTCTTCCGAGAACTATCCACGATGACTCCAAGATCTCTTTCCTGATTAGTTGTAGCTAAATTAGCCCCCATCATGTTGTATGTATAGTTGGGGTTATTTTTTCCAATGGGCATTACTTTACATTTATCCATGTTAAATTTCATTTGCCATTTTGTTGCCCAATCACTTAGTTTTGTGAGATCTTTTTGAAGTTCTTCACAGTCTGCTTTGGTCTTAACTATCTTGAGCAGTTTAGTATCATCTGCAAACTTTGCCACCTCACTGTTTACCTCTTTCTCCAGATCATTTATGAATAAGTTGAATAGATTTGGTCCTAGGACTGACCCTTGGGTAACACCACTAGTTACCCCTCTCCATTCTGAAAATTCACCATTTATTCCTACCCTTTGTTCCCTATCTTTTAACCAGTTCTCAGTCCATGAAAGGATCTTCCCTCTTATCCCATGACAACTTAATTTACGTAAAAGCCTTTGGTGAGGGACCTTGTCAAAGGCTTTCTGGAAATCTAAGTACACTATGTCCACTGGATCCCCTTTGTCTACATGTTTGTTGACCCCTTCAAAGAACTCTAATAGATTAATAAGACATGATTTCCCTTTACAGAAACCATGTTGACTTTTGCCCAACAAGATATGTTCTTCTATATGTCTGACAATTTTATTCTTTACTATTGTTTCAACTAATCTGCCTGGTATTGACGTTAGACTTACCAGTCTGTAATTGCCGGGATCACCTCTAGAGCCCTTTTTAAATATTGGCATTACATTAGCTATCTTCCAGTCATTGGGTACAGAAACCGATTTAAAGGACAGGTTACAAATCACAGTTAATAGTTCCGCAATTTCACATTTGAGTTCTTTCAGAACTCTTAGGTGAATGCCATCTGATCCCGGTGACTTGTTACTGTTAAGTTTATCAATTAATTCCAAAACCACCTCTAGTGACACTTCAATCTGTGACAATTCCTCAGATTTGTCACATACAAAGGACGGCTCAGGTTTGGGAATCTTCCTAACATCCTCAGCTCTGAAGACTGAAGCAACGAATTCATTTAGTTTCTCCGCAATGACTTTATTATCTTTAAATGCTCCTTTTGTATCTCCATCGTCCAGGGGCCCCACTGGTTGTTTAGCTTCCTGCTTCTGATGTACTTAAAAAACATTTTGTTATTGCCTTTTGAGTTTTTGGTTAGCTGTTCTTCAAACTCCTTTTTGGCTTTTCTTATTACATTTTTTACACTTAATTTGGCAGTGTTTATGCTCCTTTCTATTTACCTCACTAGGATTTGACTTCCACTTTTTAAAAGATGCCTTTTTATCTCTCACTGCTTCTTTTACATGATTGTTAAGCCACCGTTGTAGTTCTTTTACTGTTTTTTTTTAATTTGGTGTATACATTCAAGTTGGACCTCTATTATAGTGTCTTTGAAAAGTGTCCATGCAGCTTGCAGGGATTTCACTCTAGTCACTGTACCTTTTAATTTCTGTTTAACTAACCTCATTTTTTAATAAATTAATGGAGATATCCCATCTCCTAGAACTGGAAGGGACCTTGAAAGGTCATCGAGTCCAGCCCCCTGCCTTCACTAGCAGGACCAAGTACTGATTTTGCCCCAGATCCCCAAGTGGCCCCCTCAAGGATTGAACTCACAACCCTGGGTTTAGCAGGCCAATGCTCAAACCACTGAGCTATCCCTCCCCCCCATAGTTTTTTGCATAGTTCCCCTTTCTGAAATTAAATGCCACAGTGTTGGGCTGTTGAGGTGTTCTTCCCACCAGAGGAATGTTAAATGTTATGATGATATGGTCACTATTTCCAAGCGGTGCTGTTATAGTTACCTCTTGGACCAGATCCTGTGCTCCACTCAGGACTAAATCGAGAATTGCCGCTCCCCTTGGGAGTTCCTGTACCAGCTGCTCCAAGAAGCAGTCGTTTAAAGTATCGAGAAATGTTGCCTCTGCATTTCATCCTGAGGTGAGATGTACCCAGTCAATATGGGGATAATTGAAATCCCCCCACTATTATTGAATTCTTTATTTTGATAGCCTCTCTAATCTCCCTTAGCATTTCATCGTCACTATCACTGTCCTGTCAGGTGGTGGGTAATAGATCCCTACTGTTATATTCTTATTAGAGCATGGAATTACTATCAATAGAGATTCTATGGAATATGTGGATTCATTTAAGATTTATACTTCATTTGATTCTACGTTTTCTTTCACATATAGTGCCACCTCCCCCCCCCCCCCCGCATGACCTGTTCTATCATTCTGATATATTTTGTACCCCGGAATGATTGTGTCCCATGGATTAGCCCCACTCCACCAGGTTTCTGTGATGCCTATTATATCAATATCCTCCTTTAACATGAGGCACTCTAGTTCACCTATCTTATTAGACTTCTAGCATTTGTGTACAAGCACTTTAAAAACTTGTCACTGTTTATTTGTCTGCCCTTTTCTGATGTGTCAGATTCTTTTTATATGAATGTTTCTCATCTGATCTGGCCTAACTGACTAACATTCTGTTAGTTTTTTTGACTGCTGCTGCATGTTGAGCAGATATTTTCAGAGAACTAGCTATGATGACTCACAACTCAAGAAAGATCTCGAACAGTTAATTTAGATCCCATCATTTTGTATGTATGGTTGGGATTTTGTTTTCTAATGTGCATTACTTTGCACTTAACAAATTTGAATTTTACCTGCCATTTTGTTGTCCGGTCACCCAGTTTTTTACAATTTTACAAGTTACAAAACTCTCTACACATCACTAAAATCCAACCCACCAGTTTGTCCCAGTTATTCTGTACCTTCCTTATCTTTCTTTTGGATACGAGTAGTCCCCATACTAGTCTGTGAAGGTACCTCCCCAGTTTGTACTGGGGCAAAACATTAATGCAGGGGTAGGCAACCTATGGCATGCGTGCCGAAGGCGGCACGTGAGCTGATTTTCAGTGGCACTTGCACTGCCCAGTTCCTGGCCATCAGTCCGGGGGGCTCTGCATTTTAATTTAATTTTAAATGAAGCTTCTTAAACATTTAAAAACCTTATTTACTTTACATACAACAATAGTTTAGTTATGTATTATAGACTTGTAGAAAGAGACATTCTAAAAACGTTAAAATGTATTATGGGCACGCAAAACCTTAATTAGAGTGAATAAATGAAAACACGGCACACCACTTCTGAAAGGTTGCCGACCCCTGCATTAATGTATTTTGCCTTTGACAAGTTTCTTATTTTCCAAGTCCAAAGCTGACTTCAGCTTTGCAAAATTGACATGAGTGAACAGAATTGTTGGGAGCGCATAATACATTCAGTTAACATAACTTCCCACCACTTATAAATATATATATATTGTATACTCTCTTAATACCATGCAATTAATACCTGTTAAAGTGGTGTATACAATGCCTAACCTATATGTATTGGCTAACATTTGTAAATAATGATTGCATCAAAGAATATACATTATTCTCATACATTTTTTCTAACAACCCATGACACAGCAAATATTGTCTAACTGCTTGGGCTAAAAGTGATAGCACTACCAAACTCTCTCTTGAGCATTCTGATCAGCTGGCTGTAATTAACACTGTACAGATCATGTGAAGGCATATTATTCCTAGTCCAGGTTATTCTGCTAGATTTTGGATGGAGGGTGTAAAGAGTGGGATTTCTGAGTTGAGGGAAATGGTCCTTCCTTCATTGGTACTTCAACCCTGTAATCAAAGAAGACCTCTGGTCACTATTATAATAATGCTATAAGACGTTATTTACCACTATTTTGCCAATTTAGTTAATAGCTTCATCGATCTTAAGACCAGAAGGAACCATTATGATAATACAGTTTGACTTGTATAACACAGGTCATAGAATTTCACCAGTGCTGCTTTATCAAGGCTTGATCTTGATCCTCGGCTTCTGATTGAACCAGAGCATACCTTTTAGAAAGGCATCCAATCTGATTTCTGTTTGAAGGGTTTATTTTTGAGAGCGTTTAAATTTAAAAATATGGGATTGGAGGACAAATCAGAAGTTAGCAAATTGCAACGTTTTCAATTAACCTGGTGCATAAAATACTTGTAAAAGTTTATTTGTGCTGCAGTTAAAAACTCCACCTAATATATGATTGTTTTAAATGTACTTTAAAGGCTCAGAGAATGACTCAAGAGTAAATGAAACTGAAGAGGAAGAAAACTACTGGAATGTAAAGATTGTACCAATTGTGTATGAATTAGAGAATGGTAGGTAATATTTCTTGGATATTTCAGTAATAGTGAATACACATTTTACATTGCAAATTGAGTATGGCGAGGAAGGCTTAATTTTGAATTTCCTCACTCACATACAAGTCAACCCATTTAAAGTTGCTTTTATACAAAATTGTTGCTAATTTCTTTCCTTAATGGAATTTTAAAATTCCATTATCTCAGTCGGAGTATATGAAGACACCCTTGTTATCTTTCACAGGCATGTTAGAAGTGTGTGTAAAGTTAAAATGCCTTATTTTGTGCTGCATTTACACCTGGGCAACCTTGTGTGTAAAATATTGCAAAATCAGAATATTGTTTTACACAAACTTTGCACACGTGTAAATAATTACATGTGTGCAAGGCAATAGAGAAAATGGCCCAAAATACTTCATCATGTAGGACGGTGGTTCTCAAACTTTTGCAGACCACTTGAAAATTGCTGAGGATCTCAGCGGACCACTTAACGATCTTTCCAAATATTGTTTGTACAGTTAGCTAACTATTGTAAAGTGCTTTGGATAAAAGCACTATATATAAAAAAAACCCTAGATAATAATTAACATTTTTTTGTTCTACAAATAAAAGCACACATCTCATATTTTAATATCAGTAGTCTTACCTTTCTAGTGCGATGGATGTGCTCTCTCTCCCCCGCTGCAGCAGCCCCCGAACTGGGTCTGGGAAGGAGGGGAGGTCTCTCCCTCGCCACAGAGCTGAGGCTGGGAAGGGGCCGCGACGTTAAAGCTTTAACGTTGGCTGCATACAGGCCGGTATCGGTTTCTTACCCCTGCCTCTTTCTCTGGCTGCCTCAGCCCTGCATGTCCCAGATTCCCTCCAACCCCTCTTCTCACCTCACTGCCCCCTCCCACCCACCCCGTATTCCACACAAGGCCACCACCTCACCTTACATGTACATCTTCTTCAGGGTCCAGGCACCTAATTAGTGGAGCCACGTCTACGCCGCCACTAATTAGATGGGTGGCCCTTCATTCTCTCATGTGTGGCAACCCAGGTGCACACCTTAGAGGGAACTATCCGCGGACCACAGTTTGAGAACCTCTGATTTAGGAGTAAAGGATATACTCTGCCTGTATCAGGAGATACAGAAGGTCCCTAAAAGTATGTGGGTAGTGGTGGTGGTGGGGCTTTGTGCGCCTGAACTGTGGCTCCGCCTCCTGCCCTGACGCCGCACCACCCCTTCTTCCTGAGGCTCTGCCCCCCACTGCTCCTTCTCCCCAAGCCTCCGCCCTCGCACTATCCCTTGCCCCGGAGCCCTGCTCCCCCACCACTTCTTCCCTCCCCCATTGCTCACCCTTACGCTCGGTAAAAGGTGTGGGGGGGGTCATGACTCCCGGCCCCATCTGTTCCAGTGCCCTTGGCCTGTATGTCACTTTCATCAGCTGATTTAAGGAAGAGCACTAGGCAGAAAGCTTGAAACTGCCACCTATTCCATCTCTTAATTTAAATTAAGGTAGCCTAATGGAAGCCAGCTAGTTAGAGGGTTTGGATAGTGGGATGGTGTTGAAGAAGAAGCTTCTCCTTTTTCAGGGAATAGAGATGGAGTGGATCTTACACTTGCATATATTAGAACAAGAACATATTTTTAATTTTTAAATAGTCTATTTTCTCCTTTTTAAAAATCTGGCTTTGCTCCTTTCCCACCAATTGATAGATGAATACAGTACTATGAAGCACTCAGAGTAACAATTTTCTGTTTCTTTAATGTTCTTGTTGACTAAAACTAGAATGGCAGTCATCCCCTCTTTTAGCTCCATGCTATACTTTCTTTATTTGGGCCTTCACTGCACAGCTACAGTATTTATTTCTAAGTCAGTTCAGGAATTCCATAATTTAAATGAGTGGATCTATTAGTAATGCAACATTTGTTTAGAGTTTGTGTACAACCATATAGGGTAGAACCTCAGAGTTACGAACACCAGAGTTACAAACTGACCAGTCAACCCCACACCTCGTTCGGAACCGGCAGTATGCATTCAGGCAGCAACAGACAATGACACCAAAAAAAAAAAAAGCAAATACAGTGTAGTACCATGTTAAACATAAACTACTAAAAAATAAAGGGAAAGCAGCATTTTTCTTCTGCATAGTAAAGTTTCAAAGCTGTATTAAGTCAATGTTCATTTGTAAACTTTTGAAAGAACAACCATAACATTTTGTTCAGAGTTCCGAACAACTTCCATTTCTAAGAAGTAAAATAGTCATTGCGCTTCATTGGATGCAGTGATTCCAATTTTGACTGATCCTTCTAGAGAGTGCACAGCAGACCCGCCAATGCGGGGGGCAATCTCCCAAGGGCCCGGGCAATTTAAAAGGCCCCGGGGGCTCCTGGCCACCGCCGCCAGCGGCACAGCGGAGCTAAAGCAGGCTTCCTGCCCGCCCTCACTCCGCGCTTCTCCCAGAAGCAGCTGGAACGGCCCTACAGCCCCAGGGGGGGAGAGGGGACTCCGCAGCTCCTGCTGACCGGGAACCGAGGCCAATGGGAGCTGCGGGGCGGTGCCTGTGAGCGGCGGTGCACGGTGACTCCCTGAACCCCCCTGTCTAGGATCCACTTCCAGAGAGGTGTGCTGGCTCTAGGCTGCTAGATCTACTCAATGGAGAGGGTAACTGGAACAAATTAGTGGGTGGGTGGCAGGAGGAGAGAGGAAATGAGGAGGAGTGTGAGTAGGCAAGTATGGGGGTGGGAAGAAGAGAAATTATGGGAGAGGTGTGCATAGTGGAATGTGGGGCGTAGGACCTGGGGGAAACTGACTAGTACCCTCTGGTCATTTTATGCTGCTTCCAATTTGGGTAAGTTAGCCAGAATGTACTGCTGAATCTAGCCCAAAAAGTTAAAATTACACATAATATGTAAAATATAAAGATTGATACTACATATCTTGAAATCATTAGAAATATCACAGAGTAACATTATTTTGGGTTTCTTGTTTAGTGTTCATGTATGAAACTTTTAATATTTTTATTTTAAAAAGGAAAATCCTGTATAAAAACTATGAATAACTGGAGAAGGATTGAAGTACATATTGGTGATATAATCTTAAAAGAAATCCAAACATATTAAGATATGGAAATGCACAGATAATGGACCTTTAACTCTAGAGGTGAGGTTACTAATTCAATAATGACTCCAGCCCGTGGTGACACCATCGGGGAAGAAAATCTAATGTGTCTTTAAAAATCAATTTAATTGAATTAGGGACTACAAATACTATAATACCCTAATCATCATTGTATGGGTACTTCATAACGTTACTATAAGGTGGATTTAAGGTTGTTTGGATACATCTATGCATTTCCATGCCTTAAAATGGTTGGACTTCTTTTTAAAGAATCCTTTGAAAGTTCTGTGTTTGTGATACTTGTTTTGGGATAATTCTTGTAATATATTTATACATTTAACAAATTACAGGTGCTCCAGGCAGCGCGGTAAGGGGGCAGGGAGCAGGGGGGGTTGGATGGAGGGCAGGGGAGTTCGGGGTGTGGATAGGCGTCGGGGCAGTCAGAGGGCAGGGAACATGGGGATTGAATGGGATCAGGGGTCCCAGGGGGCACTCAGGAAGGAGAGTGGGGTTGGATGGGGCAGGGGTTCCGGGGGCAGTTAGGGGACAGGGAGCAGGGGGGGTTGGATAGAGGGCAGGGGAGTTTGGGGTGGTGGTCAGGGGGCAGAGGTGTGGATAGGGGTCGGGGCAGTCAGAGGGTGGGGATTGGGGGATTGAATGGGTGCAGGGATCCCAGGGGGCAGTCAGGAAGGGGTGGAGGTTGGATGGGGCAGCGGGGGGTCAGTCGGGGGGGGGGGGCGGCGGCAGTCCGTGGACAGGGATAGGTGGGGTGGGTGGGGCGAGGGTCCCCGGGGGGGGTGGGGGGGGGTGGGCATCAAGGAACAGGGGGAGGTTGGATGAGGCAGGAATC